TTCTTAGTTATGGGCGTTTTGGTAGTGCATTACACCGACCCTCCTGCGCTTTCGGAATGGCGTGTGCATCAAATTTTGCCAAAGACTCGCCAAAACGGCTACGGAAACCTATGAAATGCTAAAGCAAGCATTTGGGGAGTCCGCAATGGGTCGTGCACAAACTTTTGTGTGGCATTCACGTTTTAAAAATGGCCGAACCTCTGTCGATGATGCCGAGCGTTCTGGACGACCATCTTCGAGCGCAACGCCCGAAAATGTTACGAAGATCGACGTCGTACCATCAACGACTTGTGCGACATTTTTGGGATAGGCTATGGGACCTGTCAGCTGATTCTAAAGGATGAACTCCACATGCGACGCATCCTGTCAGAGGACTAGAAGCAGAATCGACTTCTCGTTTGTCAGGAGCTCCAAGATCTTGCAAGAACCGACCCCAACTTCCTTTCTAAGCTCCGTGTGACTTCTTCCTCTTCCCAAAGATGAAAATTCAGCTAAAGGGAAGGAGATTTGAGACGATAGAAGAGATTCAGGCAGAATCGCAGATGGTGCTTGACAGGCTGACAAAGAAAGATTTCCAGGGATGCTTCCAGGCTTGGCAGCGGCGCTGGGATCGTTGTGTTCACTCCCAAGGGAACTACTTCGAGGGTGATGGATGAATTTAATACCTGAGATAAGTGTACGGGTTTTTATACGCGCAGTATGGAAACTTTCCGATCGCACCTCGTATATGGAGAAAAATGGACAGAATAATACAAGATCAGAGAATGGAAATAAGGACTGGCTGGGGCTGAGTGGTGTCCTGGAAAGGACATTGTAGTGACCAGAAGGACTGGTATATTGGATGCCTCCTACATACTTTTAGAGAGTGACGTGTAATAACACAAAAAAAGTATGTGGTCACACAAAGGCTTTTTTATTACCATGGTTAACATGTTAAGTGAAGTTTGTACATGATATGTGCTAACCCTATCATTCATTACCTCATGTCATTGCTAATACTGTTGCCAACAGCAAATTCATAATATTAATTGTAAACGCTTATTTCAGAAGGTTTTTGGTGATAATTCCTTGCAGATATAATGCTCTATCAGTATTTTAAAAAAGAAAAGTGCACATTGTATGAGGGGCGTATACAAATGATTTAGACTAATCTGAATTATGTGATCCTTGATGGTGGTGGCTCCTAGGTTAAACTTCGGCCCGTTCAACATATTCTCCTTGGAGGTCGATGCACCATTGCCATCTCTCTGGCAATTTCCGTATTGTCTCAAGACACCTTTGTTTGGGGGTGTCTTGTACCCACTCCCTGGCAGCATCATGTAAGGCGTCACTATCAGGGAATCGGTGACCACGCAGGGGATCAGTTCTGACACTCTTTGAATCAATTGCGGAGTTCTTGATGTTCTGGGACGACCACTGCTGGATCCCTTTTTCACTGTTTCGTTGTCACATGCGAAGCCTGTCACCCAATTGAACACAGTTGCATGTGCAGTCACTGGGGTTTACCGTGCTCCCACACCTGCCCTATTCCCCCGACCTGGCACCAAGTGACTATGCCCTCTTCCGTGAGATGAAGAATCCCCTGCGTGGTCACCGATTCCCTGATTGTCACGCCTTATGTGATGTTGTCAGGGAGTGGGTACGAGACACCTCCAAACAATGGTTTCGTGAGGCAATATGGCAATTGCCAGAGAGATGGCAACGGTGCATCGACCTCCAGGGAGAATATGTGGAATGGGCCGAAATGTAACCTGGGAGCCACCACCATCAAGGATCACATAATTCAGGTTTGTGACATTGTTTGTTATGAAGTAAACTAAATAGTTCTAAGTAACAAATTGCAAATTAAATTGAAGACAATAACAGTTCAAAAAATTGCAAGAAAGATAAGGTTTAGATTTACTTTAATTTTTAGAAATGCTTAACTCCATTGTGGTATTTCTTGTGCTGCTGTGCATTGTGTTTGAAGGATTGTTGCAATATTACACTACAGCTTAGCTACCTAATCACTGTTGAGAGGTTAGGTAATAATTATATCATACATTTTCAGTGGTTTTTTTAGGTGTTTATGATGCTCTAGTATGAATGAAGAGTACTTTATGGACCCATCCATGTCTGTCACTTTTATGGTGACATTGAGACCCTATCATGTTGGATCTGAAGTCATTGTTGAAAGATACTTTGCAACAGTGACCTGGGATCACTGTGTAAAAGTGGTCCAAGTCAACAATTACCTGGGATCACAGAAGTGCAGTAATTACCTAAGACATAACAATGACCTTTGATCACATTGGTGTACCAGTAGTCTGTGTGAGGTGGCATAAAAATGCCTTTGATATATTACTGTGCTCCAAACAGAATATCTTTCTGATCTTGTTTGTTCTGTAATGTCACTGATATTGCTAGTTTTCAGCTACAATGCAGCAACACCTCTTGTGTTAGTACATACATACAGTTCAAACTCAGGCCACTGTTTTTAAGTTGTGCCTTTTAGTCAAACATTTATGGCAGTATAGATCAGCACATAAATTTTGAAATGAAAAATAATGTAATAATATCTTCTGCTGTTAATTGTTGGAATAATTAAAAATGCCATTTTGAAAAAAATATCTTGTCCTCTCGAGTGCTGTTATTGTCAGAATGATTATTTGAACAGTAACTGGCATGTTCCTGTGCTACTATTTGTATCTTTGTGCCTTTGCCTATTCACTACATGGCCCCAGGTATTTGATTTGCCAAGAGGGGTAATCAGAATTTATTCTGACCCTGTCTCTGGAGAGAAAATGTAAATATTACTGCCATACATATGCCTGTACTTTTATGATATGTTGATAAATTATAATTATTTCTTTTGTTTCATCTCCTTTAACTGCATGTTTCTTGCTGATCTCTACATTGCATGCCAAGGATTTCATAGTAAGTTGTTTAGTAAGTTTTTTGCTTATAGACTGAATTTTTATCTAAGATTAACTCTCAAACACTTCATAATTTCTTGCAATTCAGAAGGGGATTCTGGGCAGTTCTATGACAGAACTGTATTTTATTTCAATTAAAATGTTAAAATGGTGCTTTAGATGTTTGAATAATTGTCTTAATTTGTTTGTTTCTGTAGTGATTATAATTTTTATTGATAGCATAGAACACTAAAAGAACAGCGGTGGCCAGTGTTTCAGCCAAGAAGTCTTGTTTATAGCATGGAAGGGTTTAATGATTTTCCTTTTTAATATTCTTGTCCTTGTGTTTTTATAGCTAGAGTTCAATGTATATCTTCAGTTTTTAAATGTGAACTCTATCATATGTTGACATTAATCAACATTTCAGCAGATGTTGCAGTTTCCATCTTCAAGTTGAATGTGTGGTGGGATGCTTTAGATTGTGAGGTAGATTTGATGGTGCTGATTGGTGGAGTGGAGGAGTAGGCCACTATGCATTGGGGTAGGAGCATGCAGTTGAGGAAAGGAGGTGATGGGAACAAATTTTTATGAACACATAGTGAGGAAAGAAGGTGACAAAAGCAGTTCTGGTGACCATGTTGGACAGGAAATAATTTTCAGTAGTTGTGTGGAAAGGAGTGGTGGTGATTCTTGACCTTGATGATGGTAACTACATTTGTGAAAACATTTCTTAATACTCAACATTTGATGTAGCTCACACCTGAAAGCCAAAGTTATACATTTTTGTAATATTGTAATTTACAGATTTAGTTGAGTCATACATTTAACACTGGAATACTGGATTTATAATGTTACAGCTTCTGATAATGGTACCAATTTTGAAAAGGGTTTTAAGGTTTTGTGTAATTTGGAGTTTTAATGAAACTGTAAAGTAAGGCTTACTCAGCTATTGCAGCATGGAGCTGCTGGTATAGATTTCACTGCTTTTTAGAATAGCTTATACATTATGTATAATAGTAATGCCATGTTATCACATATTTTATTCTGTTGTGACCATTATGCAATACGTGTTTTTGTTTTGTTTATTGTATAGTCAGATGAAGTGTACTTGGAAGCCCAAGTTCAGAACATAACAACAGGCCCTATCTGTTTGGAGAAAGTTTGTTTGGAATCTTCTCATCTATTTCATGGTAAGAATGATGTATCATTGGCATATTGTAAATGAAATTAATTCTCAGTTATTTGTTTTATGGTTTGCTTAATGCGCTTTTGTTGCTATATAACTATGTAATGTAACATTACGTATGACACAATTCTTGTAAGTGTGTTAAAAAGTTTCTGCTACTGCAACTAATCTGTTTTCCAATATTTCAAAGAATAAACAAAAAAACATGGGATAAAGTTGGAAACTGTATGCAAATTATGCTGTCAGGCTGATTATTTTGAAACTCTGGTATAAAGAAAATAGATTCATCCATAATAACCTACATTTTAATTGAAAATTCTAACTTAAATCTACAGTGATTAGACTACAATTTAGTTGGTGATTTCCTGCCATTTAAAGCATTTAAGTGCCAAATTATTCTAGCCACTTAGGTGAATGGGGGATTAAATATGTGTCATTTAAATTTAGAAATATTTTTGATATATATATATGACAAAGTATACATGTAAAACTAAAATATATATGTGTGTAATATTATATCTGTTGTTTTATTAGCTTTGCAACAATAGATTTGTATCTGCAGTGAATGAACATCAGGGCTAGTAAGGTATGCAAATTCAAAAGGAACTACCTTGCATTGAAAAACTCAGATTCAGAAAATTCAGGTGTATGTTTGGGAATTTTATATATGGATTACTGTTTCCATAGTATTTATAATATTCTTAACATTTAAGAGTAGCATGCATTTTCATAGCAATACAAGAAAAAGGTTGGAAGAAGTATCGTACAGAACTTCTTTCTTGGTAATTTCTGAAGCACATCTGTACTGTGGTTGTATGATTTTCTACAGTAACTGCATTGAACACAACACTGGATGAAGAATCTGTTTTTGGCCATGTTAATGTGCTGCAGCCTCAGGCTAGTCATCAGTTTCTGTACTGCCTTGCTCCTCAGGCCAGCCTGACTTCTGACCTGCGCCTTCTCAGTGGTGCTACCAACATTGGAAAACTAGATATTGTATGGCGATCTAATCTTGGGGAAAGAGGACGCCTGCAGACAAGCCAGTTGCAGAGAATGGTATGTTATATAACTCTCTGGAAACGTTGCCTGTTTGGCTCTGATTAAAGGAATTAGTAGATCTGACCATCATTTACCCATGTCATGGAAAGTAATTTATTTTCACTGTTGCATTAAAATCCTCCCCACGAATGGAAGCATTTTCCACGTGGTCCAGTCTGACTGCACTTTCTTTCTAAAGATATTACATCTCAAAAAGAAAAGTACTCTAAGAATATTCAGTCTTTCCTGTACAGAATTATGCCTGAAATTGTTTATACTCATAAACTTATGTTAAAATAATAAAATGGTAATTTGAAATGTGACCAACCATATCTATACCATACTATATGTAAACCAAAGTTTTATTTTGATATGTAGAGGCAAGAGAATTGCCCTCATGAAAATGGATGAAAGTGATTGAGCGTTACAGGTAAATAATATGCTAAACCTGAAGTATTATTTGCCTTAGTTCACTCATATTAATGTAAATGAATGCAGATGTAAGTAAATACATGACTGCAAACTCACCAAAAATATAAAATGTACTGGGACGAATGTCTGGATTGAAGAGAGAGGAAGTTGAATTATGTAATGCAATGAGCAACATTTAGTATGTGAGTGTGAGAGTTGGGAGTGCATTGTAGTTGAATTTGAACCAAAATTTTGCAAGGTAAAGATTAATAATGGTGTTCAGTACAGATTACATAATTTCAGAATTCATATTTTTAGGAAAGATTCTTGATGATTATTATTCTTGGTCACTTTTCCACATAATGCATAAGTTTACTTCATGTTTGTGCTGTGTAAAAATTCACTGTTGTTTAACCTTCATTAACCATGTATTCTGGCTTACATACAGTCTGGCTGGCCATGCATTGCACTAACATATATCTAAACCATTAACCCAGAAGTTAATCCAGCTGGCAGCCTCATGTTGCAGGGTTCAAATCCTATGTCCCCGTATCATATGAGGCATTTGAAAGACTCTTGGTAAATATTTGTGGATTCTTGTTGAAATGAAGTTATGAACAGGACCTTAGTCAATTTTATTTCTGTTTCAGGCCCCAGACTATGGTGATATTAGACTTTCTATTCAAGAACTTCCCAACATTATATATCTGGAGGAAGCCTTCACATTCACATGCAGGATAATAAACACATGGTATAGTTGTCTTATTAGCAAGGTAGCACATACTGAGGTCACACATTAACTGACTTAATAATACTTGTGTGATCTTTATGTGGCATTAGATTGCTGTAAATTTCTGTTTAAGAACTTGGTGAAGTAATTAATGTGAACAAGACATAGAGGGAAAGGCCCTTGTTTCTACCAGAAGGATGCATCACAGGAGAAAAGTAGTAAAATTAAGGAGTATTTATCTGAATATTGTCTCTCTTTACTTATTGCAACCATGAAATTAAAAGTAATTGGAGTGTTTGTTGCATTCTTATCTGGTAGTTACAGCTATTGAAGATTGCTGTCTTCTGGATTATTGCGCCGTGTAGTCTGGTAGATTTCCACATTCATCGCCCTGATGACGGAGGCAGTATGACCTCTGAAACGTTGATGGAGACAGAAATCTTCATACTCACCGCTGTGAAAATCTCAGATCGTACACAGTTGTCAAGCTGTTTTAAATACTCTTGTTATTGCAGCACAGAAAGAAACCCTTGATAAATATAACATTCCACAATTTTCCCCAATCCAATTTCAGGCATTGTCTGTGTACAGATGTGACAAGGATCAGTTACAGTTCTGATTCATATTTCTTTGACTCTTCAACTGCAGAAGTCTTTATAGCACAGAAGCACAAATCAATTACACAGTGGATTGCTTGGCAGTGGGATAGGAACTTATTCACAGGAGAATAGTGGGACATTTAACTTTCCATACCAAATTAGTTATTATGAAAAATGTCATAGAAAGTTCAGATTTTTACCCTTCACTCTGAACACAGTATGAGCCGGGATAGCTCAGTCAGTATAGTGACTAGCTACGGGCTGGACGACCGGGGTTCGATCCCCGACGGGGGCAGAGGATTTTTCCTCTAGCCTCTGCGTCCAGACCGGCTCTGGGGCCCACCCAGCCTCCTCTACAATGGGTACTGGGGTCCTTTCCCGGGGGTAAAGCCGGCCGGGGCGTGATGCTGACCACTCACCCCCATCTAGTGCCGAGATCAAGGAAGGGAGGAGCTATACCTCCTCTCACCCCAAACGCCTACATGGCGTATAGTGGGACAAACTTTACTTTTTACTCTGAACACAGTATCATGTAAAGGTCATTTACAGCAGTGTTCTGCAACTGGTATTCCACAAACTTTTATAAAAAAAATTGTGTGTTTATAAAGAGGCAATATCTTATCTTTTGTAACTAGAATTTTTAAAACACACACACGCATAGGTTCATCATCAATAGTTATATTTAGCATGTGTTATATACTGTTTATGAGCCGGGATAGCTCAGTCAGTATAGTGACTAGTACGGGCTGGACGACCAGGGTTCGATCCCCGATGGGGGCAGAGGATTTTTCCTCTAGCTTCTGCGTCCAGACCGGCTCCGGGGGTTTACATATGTTTGCATACTTTTAGGGCAAGGATTTATATGTAGGTACATATTTATGACCATGTATTATTTTGTACTCCTTTTTGTGAGGGCAGTATTTTGTGGTGTGCTGTCATGTGTCTTTAACAAACTAGGGTGTGCTGTGTGAAAAGAAAAGTTAGTGGTAAATGCCTACATATGATGTACTTGGCTTGTCATACTGACTGCGGTACATCAGGTAGTGCTGAGGGGTTAAAGCAGGTGGTACACATAGTAACCATGTAGCAGGAGAAAGGATTACTTAAACTCAAATAAACTTAGTCTGTAATGAAAATGAGCTAGGAGTGATACACTACCTTGGTGCTATATGTTCATTGAGTGTTTATTGGTTTTCACAGTGAGCGTTCAATGGATCTATTGCTTACTTTGGAGCCAGCACAGTCTTCAGGCCTGGTGTGGAGTGGTGTGTCAGCCCGACAAATGGGAAAGCTTGAACCTGGAGCATCAGTATATTTACCCCTGTGTATGGTGCCTTTAGCTGCAGGGTTACAGGTCTGCATCACTGTTGTACATGTTGTTATTTCCCAGTTCATTTTGTGCTGATAGAGACTATTTAGCCTCCAATGGAAAATGTGGAGGCAGAGTTCTAACTGCATTTTACAAGTCATTGCAAGGAATTAAACAAAGATATGATTTGGGTGTGACTAAAGAGTGTTTGTGGGTTGAAATTCATGTTGGAGACAACTGTGGTTTACTTACAAGGAATCATTAAAAAAAATTTACTGGAGTGTGTGCTTTACAGACATCAGTTATATATTCTTGATCTCCATACTTCTGTATCTATTTCCAGTTGCTCTTGGTATGAGTTCCACACAGAAGCTGAGAAACACATAATTAAGTAGTATAACAAGTGTTCAACTCTAATTAGTAGGCCTACTTATGCAAATACAACACACACACATTAAAAAATATATTTATACATCAGGACTCAAACTTACAAATGTGATTTTGCATCAATACCAGTCCTCTACCATATTGACTGGTCTACAAGGGGTCATTTACAACCAACTGAAGTATCACCCTCATGTTTGTTTGTCATCAGAGGACTCAGAAAAGCCATAAACATTATCTTTTTTTCTTCAAATTAGGGAGACATATTGCTATCTTTAACAGACATCTGGCATTAATTATAGTTAGTGGTAGGCACACAAAAGCCACGATGGACAAATACTAAGAGATTGTGAATGACTGGAATTGTGACACCTTACATCACTTCTGGTTTCTGCCTTGCTAGAGGAAAAATCCTCTGCCCCTGTTGGGTATCAAACCCCAGTCATCTAGTCCATAGCCAGTCACTATACTGACTGAGCTATCCTGGCTCCCACCAAAGGAAAGTAGCAACAGAAAATTGATGTAACAGTTCTGTGTGGATTTTTGTGTTCTATACATCACTAAATTTGATTCCCATCTACATCCTGTGCTGGGTGATGCAACATCATCTCTAGCTGGCAGGTGTTGCACTTCTATATCAAATCACCACTTTGGATTTTTGTAATTCTAAGTTCACAAGGAAGACAAGAGAAAATGGCTTTCACGGTACCTTCAGAATACTACGAATTCAGTATACAACACCGTCATGAAATCCAATGCCTTACTGAGTTCATACTGGTAAAATTTATTGGGAAGGAACATTTTATATTTGTCAGTAATATAGCTGTACTATGCACAGCCAAGGATGATATGTAAGCTCAACATTTTGCTTCCTTGGTTTCTTGGATTTTAGGATTGACTTTTTTTTAATCTCCAAATTTTACTTCAAGGTGCAGTTATGTGTACACCTTCCTGGTGCAAGGGACACCTTACTGTACCTTAAATGTCACACTCAGAATGTTTCGTTGTGGTATATTTTGGCTTGAAATTCCATGAAATCTTCGGTATTTAACATTTTCTTTCTTTTCTTTTTTTCCAGAATATATCAGGAATACGGCTTACAGATGTATTTTTGAAAAGGACATATGATTATGATGACCTCGCCCAAGTGTTTGTTACACAAGCATTCACATAAATAGAATATTGTCATGTTGGATTCCATCTTGCATTGTAACCAATAAAAGAGTAAATTATTTGAACTGAAAATAAATTGAACATATTCACTCCCTGATAAAACATTTAGTTACTGATGCATGATCAAAGAGTTCACACATGCATTCAGAAATGTATGACATTTATTCTGGTCTGCAGGTCTTAATTTTATTGTACAAGGTGGCACACGGAATGTCATACCATTTAATTATCGCATTAAAACTATAATATTGTAGTATTGATGTTCCAACTGTGCGAGTGAATGCTGTAGTTCGTGGAAATTCGATAGATGGCATCACAAGTCGGAATTGGCCGTAGCTGTAAGCGCACACCAGTCTGTGAAATGGCGGACAATGGGCGGTTGACTGTTGAGCAAAAGGTGAATGTTGTATTGTTTTTCGCGGAAACAAAGAGTGTGGTAGAGACTCACTTTGGTAAAAGGTGGGCTCTACAGACTTTTCCAACAATTTGAAATTAATAGTAAAAGTTAATGTATGGGCCGCAATTTCGAGTCACGGAATCATTGGTCCATTTTTCTTCGATGAAACCATTAACAAAGATCGATACAAAGACATGTTGGAAAACAGTTGGTCTCCCTATGCAAACACAGTGGTTCATGCAGGATGGAGCCCGTCCACACACTGCGAACATGGTTCTTGATTTCCTGCACGAGACATTTGATCTTCGTGTGATTTCGCATCGGTTTCCTGAACGTCATGAGGGCGGCAAAATGTGGCCGCCTCATAGCCCGGACATTAATCTGTGTGATTTCTTCATGTGGGGTTTCTTCAAAGAGAAAGTGTACCAAAGGAGGCCAGAAAATGTAGTGCAGCTCAGAGCCTGCATAGTGCAGTTGTGCTGTGCACTATCTGAAGACTTGTGTCGAAAAGTAGTGATGAACACAAGGGTTCATTTGCAAGTGGTTGTGAGGCAAAATGGCGGTCATATTGAACACGTTATTCATTAGGAACAATTTTCCAGGCTATAGTGATTAATTCTATACCAGTTGTGTACTACTTGTATAAAAATAAAAATGTGTTATATGTAAAACAAATGGTATGACATTTCGTGTGCCACCCTGTACAAGGCATTTCTTTAAAAAATTATAGTTATTCATCTGGTTAAGATGTTTCCTTTCATGGAACCCAAAGGTTCGTAACCACATCCACAGAAGCCTGCCATTGTACCGTATCCATAGCTAGATGTATTCACCCTTTGCTTTGAGTTTTATTTCTTTAAGCTGTATTTTAACATATCCTATAATGTATGTCCAATGTCTCTTCTCCTAAGCCTTACTGACCAAAAGAAAAATGAAATATTTGATTAAAGTGTGAGTACTGTAATTTTCAAGATGCCGCAGATTTGTGTTAGATTCGTTGAACATTTTCCTCCCTTTCACAGCTGCCACACAGAAAGGTTCTAAAATGTCTCAGTCGATATTGTATGCTTTAAATGGTAGTTTTATCATTGGCCATCATATGGAATACCGCTGTTATTAAAATTTTAGCTAATTCACAAGGTAGCCCTTACAGGGAGGTGGTAAGTAAGATGACTTCTGTCAGAAATATCAGTTTTGTGTTTTGTAAATTTTGATAGTCAGTCTGCTCTATAATAATATAGTTTTCTACTAAAAAGGCAGCATTGAAACCTGACTTATGTGCCAAGTAACAAATGGTGACATGCCCCCCATTATAGTTGTATGTCTTGTGGTAAGAAAAAATTGGACATTTTTTAATCCCCAGTACTCAAAGGAATTTCTGTACTGGATGGAGAAATTTCTCCACTCAGTGTTAATTGGCATGGTTTTGCCATCTGTTTTTCTTTGTTATTGCAAAGCTTATATATGGCAGTAGGTGGGTAAAGTTATACACAAAAGTTTTCACTATGCCAATAAAAAGAAGATTGTTCAAGAGAGGTCCTTATAGAGGAAAAGTTACAACTGTAGATACTTCAAATAACTTGTATGATATGGACTATTATTTCTGATTGTGAATTAAGTGTTATATTAGACAAGACACTTGTGTCTTCTTGCAGCAGTATGCCTGTTTCTTCTGGTGGAAGTGCTTCTAGAAGAAAGTTATTTTCAGATGAAAAAGCATTTAGTGAGACTGTAGTTCTGAAAATAATTCTGAAGTGACAGGTGGAAATCTTAAAAAAAAAAGAAGCTTACTTTGAATAGCTCTGTACAGTGTAAATATTAACTTGACTGTTACTTTAGACATTGTACAGCTTCTTGGTTATTTGTTAAAAACTGTTTTAGAGACATCTGTCATCAACAGGTTAAGGTAAGGAGAAAGGGGTGCCTACTCCAGTGAGTCCATTAGACAGAACTAGTGTACACCCAGTGATGGAGACCAGCTCTGTCCTTCAACCCACCACAGTAAGCACGCTTCTCCTAACTTTACCCGATGAAAAAGACATCATGTCTCCGAAACGTCGTTTTTAGGCTTATCTTCAATGTAAATATTGTAATGCAGATAATTGCTTATTTTTAAGATTCCACAAAATGATCAGATTTGGCAGCCAAGTTGGGGTGCCCAACACACATCTTACTCATTTCAGGGCACTATGCATATGAGAATTCTACAAGACATGTATAGACTGTGTTCCTTTGGTGGTCATGACCTTACTTAAACCACCTTCCAAGTTACAAAACTTGCAACAATATTTTACACATCTTCTATCACATTAACTGTGCCCCAGGTATAGTTAACCTTGGACTTAAAATGTTCTAGGTAATTCCATCGACCGTGTCGACTTACGTCCTTAACTCTTCTAAGTAGCCAACACAGCGAGGTTATCGTACTGCACTTTGTGCTTCAAGTAGCTCCTACAGAGTTCACAGCCGAAGAGAATCGCCAAACACTCCCAGATATCTGAAGTTCTGGCCAAAGGCATTGAGACTCAGTTTTAGCCATTGGACTTCCTGCCTAACCCTGCAGTAAGTGAGATGGTTAATTAGGTGATGCGCACATATGAGTATGTCCCCACAAATGAACCGAAGTTATTCAGTCCCTTGCAGGTACTTCAGATCATTAGGGGACTCAAGGTTGGAAAGGCCCTGGGCTCGAAAGGCATTCCGAACAGGGTCCTGTTAAAGCAGTCCTCTGCTGCCAGAACTTCCACCATCGCCGATACACACTCTTGTATCCATACAGAAGCTGTGAAAGACCCTCCAGACCCATTAGCCTTCTTAAACTGCTCTTAAGTTGCTGAATGGTGTCCTCCGTGAGGTAAACGGGTGCGGGCTGCTCTATGATGAACAGTTTTGACCTAGACAACAACGTTGCAGCTGGCCCGTCTTGTTTGAAAGAGTTTATAGAACATTTGACAAGAAGAGGCTAACCAGTGTGATTTTCCTGGATGTGTTCTGCTACAGCTATCGACACCGTGTGGCCAAAGGCCTTCTTAGAAGCTGACCATACTGAACTTCTTGTATTACAAAGTGAAAACGTGTCCACATACCCTGACTGCCAGTTTGTGGCATGAGGTATAGATTTTCCCAGGGTGGGCTCATCTCCTGTGTGCAGGCTGTTGTAGCTACATCCCATAGGATATCTTGTCCCTGCCGATTATCGAGAGGTATATCTTGGTAGCCATTGATCGCTGGCTACTAGTTTGGATGGTTGCTATCAATATCTTGAAGAGCACCTCTGTGCTCCTAGTTAAGGCGGTGAGACGCACCCAAAAACCAAGAGCAGAGCAGTTTCTCGGAGAGCCAACACATTGGGTCCAAACAGCTAGGTATCTTGGGGTGACCCTACACATTCTGTGTTACATAGTCCATGTACGTCAGCCAGGTGAGAAAAAAGCAGCACAGTGATTGAGCGTGCTTTCCCCTTCAGCAGTAGAAGCATACTGCCCTTCAGAAGTGGTGTGCAGCTTTATAAGCAACTAATTCATCTTATGATGGTTTATGCATTTCCAATCTGGAGGACCGCTGTTTACAGCCATGTCTTGAAGCTGCAAGTATTGCAATCCAAGTGTCTTTGCATTACATTAGTAACAGCCTAACTCACCAGGATTTGGTGACTCCAATCTTTACTGACCACATCAGAGCACTGACTGAGCTTTTGGGATAACCCCTTCATTCTGCAACTTGGAAAGCACAAATGTCGACCAAGGGCTGACGGAGGTCAATGACGGCCAACCGAGGTGCTAATGTTTAGCAGCCTAAGCTGAAAAAACGATTATTTCGGCGCAACGAGTGGTCTAACTAACGGCTACACTAACTGGGGTTTTCCGTGAATCTCCTTACTTATAAGGCAAGTTTCAGGGTATATTTCAAAAGGGGCATTGCCCGCTTTCCAATAAGGCATTCGGCTGAAGTAACCCCCTTCCCAAACTACATAGGCCATGAACCACAGTGATTCCAAGAGAGCCATCCAACCGAAGTTCTTTTCATAAGGGCCAAGTTGCCTGATGGTAAATCTCCAACCAGTAGTAACAGCCCCAAATTAGATAAGTCAGGGCCCTCCGTCAAGTTCAAGAACCACCTGTTTTTAGTTTAAAGGCCCTGTTTATTATTTCCAGCTATACGTTTCGTACACCGGAGTGGTTTAATCCAGCAAGCAGCAAAATCTTGAGCTTGCACAGGACTTCGCTCTTAGTCATTTTTTGGGTTGGTTGGGATGCTGTTCAATCGCCTGGCCTGTGGTAAGAAGCCGAACGCTACGACTGAATGATTATCTGTGATTATGATTGTGTGCTAATATTTGGTTTAATTTCGGCCCCTTTATGGATTTAAAGCAGACGTTTGTGCATACATCCGTGTCTGAGTTTTATTAACTATAAATCACGTTATTTCAGTTATTCCGTACGTTGTATTAGTTGAAGGAAAATGGTGAGTGTGCCATGTAATATCTAAATTAAAATTATTCTGTTCCGAAGTATTATGAAATTTAAGGAAACCATTCGGTCTCCAAGCACAAATTTGAATTGTTATGTTTTACATAGATTTAAATTTGGTTATAGCGACACCTTGTCCATAGCTTCTAATTTTGAGCGGTACTAATTAAATCTCCATAAAACACTTGCTTTTCTGCCTCTCTTACGAAGACATACATGAAATAACCAATCCGTTTATAATGACATCTGATAACCCACTTCTTTGTGGATAGGTACTGCACTTCTGGACAGCGAAAAATTTAACGGGACTTTCTCCCATCAGTAACTCATTCTAAATAGTACCGAGTGCCCCGGAGAGCTCAAATTTCTCAATACCACAAAAAAAAGTATGGAAATAGTGCACTAGCTGCAGTAACAATCAGGCTTCGAACAGACAGAATGGCTAAAGTTGCAAAGATAAGTGTTAAGTGTGGATGATAAAGTTAATGTGTTAAAACAAATTTAGAGTGCAAAGAAGAAATCTGATGTGTGCCACGAATTTGGCTTACATAATTCCGTAATTCATACCATATGGAAAGTAAGATATAGTTTATATTTAAAGTTAATGTGTTAAAACAAATTTAGAGTGCAAAGAAGAAATCTGGTGTGTGCCACGAATTTGTTTTACATAATTCCATAATTCATACCATATGGAAAGTAAGATACAGTTTATATTTAAGGTGAATTTTAGTGCTGTACAAAATGATCCTATATTTTTTTCTTTAAATCTGATTTCATCCCTTCATCGGTTAGTACGACGCTAGTTTGTAATGATGTAATTTATCTAGTCCCTTGGATGACATTATAAGCGAGTTGACTGTATTGGCATCTTTTAAATTTGTATACATATTGGAAAGATTGGTGGTTTCCTCACAAAGACATATATATTTACTGGAGGAAAATCTGTAATGACATCGGAAACCACTTTTCCAGATTAGCATTACTTTACTGCCTTTTGTGGCCCATATATTCTGTGTCTAACCTTCTTACTTGGTACTCTGTTTGATTGTGATGAGTGTGAGGTGTAGTTTTCTTGAGCACAATAAATTACATTGCCATAGAAAAAGTAAATCTTGATCAACACTAATAAGCTATTTTTTCCCAATTCTTTGCCAAAGACATTGATTTTGGAGGTTCTAGGAATTTCTCCACTACAAACCACAAAGTGAAGATCAGGGCAGAACACAGGAATGTGGTTGTTGTTTTACCAGACTATATAGCATTGAGTGATAAGATGATTGATGAGTAATGAACTGGAAATGATAGGGAACAAAGCGGTCATGGCATAGTCTGGGTTCTATCCTGACATTTGAAAGGACTGAGGAACACCACAACAACTCTCAGTAGAAATTGGTGGTCTCTGAGCCAAGATTTGGATTCAAAACCTGTTGAATATTATACTGGAGTGAAAATTACATGGCCTTGATATTCTGTCACTCAGAAGAAAAAACTAGGAAATGTCATAATTATCCATCACAAAAGTACCTGCCTACAGTCTTCTTAAAATGCAGAATATAATTGTGTGTTCCCAGTGCATTACACTCCTGGCAGTTTTTGATGACACAGTGCTGCTCCCCAAATAACTGTGGTTTGGGTGAGCAAAGCACAGGAGGAACCACACTTGTACTGACTGCTTTTATTTGATTTCTCACTTTTATAATCCTTTAAGAGAGGTGTAGCAAAGACATTATTTTACTGATAAAGCTGCTGAGTAGAAGTTTGTCCATTCCTTACTACAACACCATTTCATAATACGTAATTGACTGGACACATGAGTGTACATGATTATGAGGAAAAATCATCCTAGCTTTGTGTGTGAGAAAGTTCCATAAATTACAAATTCAAGTTACCTTGCGTGTTTGTCCAGTACTCATATTTACCATATACATGGTCTTTCGTGTTGCTTTCTGCAAAGAATTGCAGTGAGAAAATGATATTTATCATAGTTTTTGGTGCACCAAAATTATGTGTTTGTGATTTATTATTGTTTTGCAACTTTATGTGGGCAGATTGTTTCAATGGATTACAATGAGATCATCTATCAGTGTGGATGTCAGAAGTGTCAAGTCTTGCGTATTAATGTTGGTATTGTGGGCTATAACACCATGTGGACCTAACCCCAAATCTCACTTGACATCCTGCAGGTTTCACAGTTTGAGGATCTGTTAAACATTGGAGATAAAAAAAATCATGATTAAGTAATGGTACATGTTTTGTCTACAAGGATAATTTTGTAGTGTTTTATATAAATAAATTGCTAACCATTCTTCTCCATCTAGTGATCACATCAAGAATGTATGCACCTATACCACTTCCACTTACTTCTTCATGTTTTGATGTTTTATTAAGCACTGGGATATCTTTACTTTTCCTTTGATATGCATTAGTAACATTGGACATGCTGCAGGGTGTCCTGCTTTATGCAGAACCTGGCATGATAGCATGCTGCCTCTGCAGCAAGTTACCCACTGGAAAATAAGTTAGAATGCAGAACATAGCTGTTGCATGCTGGTAGGTGGTTTCCAAGTTACATGACAATGCTATATGCTCATAGTTCACATTCACACACATACACAAAAAAGCTTTTCTACAAGATATTACCATTAAATCAGATTATTTTCTATGCTGTTTATATAGTTATTAATTTATGTTCTTTTAATGAAATTATACTTTGATCAGTAATCATTTATTGGCACATACCATTTTATATCAGTGTCTGTTATACAATATGGCCTGGATTTTAGATGATCAAAGAAAATGTAGGTATTTATGTGCATTTGCAGTTGTAAGGTAGAATAAATCAAGTTAGGGAATGTATACATAATATAACAACTACATGTGTTTGCCAGAATTAGACCTCTGCAAATGGTGTGTCAGAGTTGTCTGGGGTATCAGTCAACATGGATTCCCCATCAAGTCACTTCCATGCCCAGAATTGCATCATGCATATAAGGCTTTATGTAAAGTTCCCGCTACTGTTATCCAGTTTTAACCAAAATGTTAATGTAGTGACAGTATTCAGCTGTTTTTGAGTTGTTTCATGTGGACTGAAGGATTGATAGACAGGAATTTTGAAGATAATGGTTGCATTCTGCAGCTCCTAGTTGTGAATGCAACTAAAAGGTGACCAAGGATAGCTTTGAACATGAGGCGCGTAGGTGATTAATATTAAGCTAGTGAAGTACAAGGAAGGGCTGAGTTTTAGATAAATTGACTGTCAATCACTGATGTTTCTGGAAACATTCAGAAGTGTGCTAAGGGAGGAATGTAGACTGAGGGTGTTTGAGAACAGGGTGCTGAGGAGAATATTTGGACCTATGAGGGATGTTGCATGATGACGAACTTCATAAGTTGTACTTCTCACCAAATATAGTTAGACTAATCAGGCCAAGGAGGATGACTACTAGGAAGACCTGGACATAGGTGGGAGGATAATATTAAAATGGATCTTAGATAAATTAGGTGGGGTGATATGGACTGGATTCATCAGGCTCAGGATAGGGACCAGTGGTGGGATCTTGTGAACATGGTAAATAACCTATTGGGCTCCATAAAATGTTAGGAATTTCTTGAGTGGTTGAGCTACTGCTGGCTTCTCAGGAAGGACTTGTCTCCATAGAGTAAGTAAATATTCATTATATAGACAGTGAACGTTGTAAAAAGAATGGCTGGCACTGATTCCTGGGAACTCCGTCTTTTCTGCATGTATAAGATATAATGTATGAATGAGACTGAACTGACTTAATTGATGATTTGAATAAAAGCAATAATGTACAATATATTGGCCATGTACTTTTGCCCTCAGAGAAGGCATGTATATGTTGTCATACAAAACTTCTCGCAGTATTCTTGTTTTGTTTGTGTTTCTTCCCAACACAAACACAATATGCATTAAATTAAACTAATTAAATTTGTTCTGCACCACATATTAATTTTTTCTAGTCCTGTAAAGAAATGTCCATAGACGATGAAAACTCCATTAATACAAGCAGTGCCATATGTTGGTAAATAATGTAACAGTGTCACTATATTGTAAGGTTGACTCAACATAATTAACTGCATGAGGCAGAGGCCTACAAGAGCCAACCACTGGACCTTTTCTGTCGTGAGTCATATGAATGTAGTTCATGTCTTTGTACGCTAATTAAGATTAATTTAAAGTTTAGTATTATTCTGCCATCATTTAGGTCTCCTACATCTTCCCATAGTTTTTCATACTAAAAAAGAATTTGTTTTTATGCTACATTCCTCTCCCATATGATCCTTTATATGTTTATGCCAATTATATTTGATGAGGACTACGATTATGAAGCTTCTAATTTTTTACTTTGTCCAGAAGTTTACTGAAACAGCTAAATGAAATTCATTATCTAAAACCTGTTGGTGAACCTAGATTTATCAGGCAGATCAAAAGTACTGAGAGAAGACAATACTGACATTTATAGTTTACAAACAGAAAAGTAGAAAAATTAATTTTGTGTGAAAATAATAATGCCCAAGCATGCAGGAAGACTTATTTGTGCAACTTGTGTTCATGATGTCAGAACAGGTTTATGTGGCTTAACCATGTTGGTGGAGGAGGAGCAGACATTGAACACTGATTCTGTCTCTTGCAGTTCTTTGCACAGATGTTGTGGCCAGTGTAGCATATAGCCCATGGTCTTTCCATGCATTTGCAATGTTTTGTTATAAACATTGCAGCTGATAAAGAATTATTAAATGATGAAGAAACAAATTATCCTTTATTAATTTAAGGACTGTTTGTACTCTTTGTGGTGATTTAAAAAAGTTATTAAAATTTAATTGTTGCCATTAACTTAGTAATACAATGTCTGTTGTGTGTACAAACAGCTAAATTGTATTCACTTCATCATGCAAGAATTAATTAATGTTAATAAAACTACTACTGACAGTGTAACTAGAATATATTTTGTTTTTTCCACTCCAAGAAAATTGGACTGCAGATCCGAGCCACTCTGGAGTGTATTGATAAAATATACACAAATCAGCCTGATTTCTGCTGGTATCTGAAAGTAAGTATTACTGATAATACATTACTCACACATTAACCCATTGGCCACAAATTTTTATTTGCTTACTTCATCATCAGAATGGCTGGTCTAGCCATGTTAGAGTGCTACACTTTGTCCACCATCAATATTGGTGTAAAAGTGGGTAGGCAGTAAATTGAATTTATGTATTAATGTACCATATGGTGTTCAAATTGCTGTAGTTAGCATCTTGGGGATAAAAGTAGAGACAGTATTGTAGTCTGTATTTGAACTAAATAATGTCTGTAGTAGTACTGTCGTATGCAGCATTAATCTTTACTGTAACTTCATATTTTGAGCAAAATACATGCTTTACCCAAATTACTAATGCATCCTTAAGGTTTTAAAGTTTTTTGCCTTCCATGCTTTATTCTCCCATTTCTTTACTCCATTGTATATACCTCCAACACAGTGCTAACTGATGGCTGTGTTCACCCCACATATTAGAGAAATGACAAGATTATGTTTGCTTGCACCAGGATATAATTCTTAGTGTGCACACATCTTTTTGTACATTCTGTGCACAATGTGTGTATCATATGGCTCATTAATACATAAAAATACTTTTACCTGACTACTCCATGCAAAATCCCAGAAGACAGTAGATAAAGTTATGTTCTAAGGCTCTCTTGGGCTTAGTGCAAGGGAGGCAGTAAGCGAAGAGGCACTGCCTGCATTTTTAAAGGGGTATAATATATGTTAGTTGTGCTACAGATGAAAAAATATTGGTTTAGACCAGATTTACACTATCTTTTTAAACCCGAGGCATACCTTAATTTATCAAAGACACTTGACAGCACACCACAAAGTGTTGCCTTATATGAAGGGGTTACCAAACTATATATGGTCATAAATATATGTCACCAATAAATACTTGCCCTGTGAAAATACAGGCACATGAAAACAAAACATTACATATGTTGGTCAGAACTATTGGTGATGAACCAGTGTCTTTGCATTCAGGTGTATGTATGTGGGGTACAAATTCTGACTAGGAAAGATATTTCCTTTTCTAACTATAAAATGTGAATATTCAGTTTCTTATAAAAATTTGCAGCACACCAGAAATCTTGTGGCAGCATACCAGTGTGCCACAGCACACTTGTTGTAGAACAGTGGTTTAGACCAGTGGGTTAAGCACTCTTCAAAAAGTGGCATTTTATTCCTAGTTAATATAGTAATAAGTGTAAAATTTTAGATTTTTGTCTGCATTTGTGAAAATTACTGATGTAAGAATGAGACTGGTAGAATGACAGAATAATACCTTAGAAGGAAGCAGTCATGGCCTATAAGTAAGTTCAACATCTGTCTCAAGAAACTGATGAGAATCACAGGATTTGCCAGTCTCCTGGCCATGATTTGAACCTAGAACATCCCAGTGTGTACTGACCACAACACCTCATTGTTTGGAAGTCTTTCTTGTCACACTTCTGTATAAGAACAATATGTTTCATTGTACTGTCACATTGTATTTAATATGATCATGTCCAGTTCTCCAAATCATGTACAAGATCATCATCATGGTTGTAACAGTGAATTATATTCAGTTTTTTTATGCATATTCCATCATGAAGTAAAATGTGTGAGAGGATTTTTTGAAATTGTGTGTAGTGAATGAAACACTAGAAATTTATTTGACCCTTTAGAGCCTGATGGTAACACTTTGTGCCATTCACTTTTGACAGTTAATTACTCTTCTTTTTTTAATTGTGGGTTTCAAGTGGTTGTCAGTGGAGACAGCATTCATCAGTTGATATTTGAAATGGTGAAATGTTTTCTTTGCGGTATGGACTGAATTCTGAAATATTATTTAGATTATTAGTTTATATTATTTACACAAATGTTGGTATTGATGTTAAATTTATGTTTTGAAACAGCAAAATTCTTTGCCTGAACCTTTTGATTTTCTTCCCACAGATGAAGTGTACAGCATGTGGTGAGTCAACTAATAAATGGCATGATGTAAGCTTGTCAGAGACAGTAATGGATCGAACAGGACATACCAACGTGCACTATTCTGCCAAATGCAAACTTTGTTTTAAAGAAAATAATCTAAGTAAGTTTCATTACTTATTAAGAAGTTGTTTCTTCAATTGAACCCTGATTTGTTGATATCACCTATAAACCCAGATGTTGGTGAATTTAACCTTTAAAGTACCAGACTTTTAAATATTTGTATCTCCTACTGGCCCAATTAAAACCCCACAGTTATGCCACATTGTGCACATGTTCATTAAAAACCCATTACAACAATGAAGTAAAATACCCATTATACAGAAGATTTTATGCTGTCTCTTGGAACTGTTCCTTAAGATGTTACTATGCAAATTATTTCTAATTGAAGGGAATATTAGTTGTGTTTAAATTTTCTGCTATTATTAGATTAATAATTTGAAAAATACTTATGCCAGACTTCTTTCCCATCCTGTCACATGTATCAACATAGCTCATGTTTATTGCAGTTTGCACTATATGGGGCTTCAAATATTCCCTTCAGCTACAGCTGTGCCTGCCTGTCTTTATCTTTCCAACGCTGCTGTGATATTGCTATGATCTCTACTTCTAATGTCCCATCTTTTTTCAGGTCCCTAGAACCAACATTTTGGGGCATTCCTTCTGTTATGCCAAACACAATAAGCTATTTTCCTGCAGTAGAGGTCATCGATGGTAGTACACTTTGAACTACCACAAGTTTATGTACATATACTTCTCAGCTTACACAAACAAACCTATTTCTGCTTTTCTCTGTGGATGGTGTGGAGGGGCAGTTGCACTAACATCATAATATTATGAACAAATAGGTTTTGATTAATTCCTTTAGACAAGATAGATGTCTAGTACTGTTTGTTGTGTACCACTAGCTCTTCTTATGCTGCCATATAAAGTAGACATATTGAAATATTTCATCTTTTTATCTGTGATACCCTGCCTATAAAGCTGCTAGTTGTTTGCAAGATGTAATATTGAAAGCAGTACAGATTTGATTCTTCCAGTAATAACGTGACCAGAAACTATGTGAGGAAGAGTTTGGAGTATTCAGTGGGATCCTTCATATCAGGTGCTGCATTATGAGGTCATGTAAATCCCTGTACCTGTTAATACTGCTGCTATCCATATATGATCATCTGGAACCTATTCTGATCATTTCTCTTTTCTGTCAGGAAAAATGTGTAATAAAGCTCCAGCTCACACAGGAAGAGTTTATGTTCCAGCAGTTGGCACCTCATCTGAAAGCTTCACTCCTGAATCTTGGTCTAGATACAGTCCTTATACCATATTTTCTTCACTCAAACAGAAACTTTTCAAGGCCTCTATTTATTTATTTATTGATTATAAATATTGTGTGAATGAGAAAACTTTTCCAAATACATAATGGACATCTGACCATAACTGTAGACCACATACCACTAATAAAAGTACAGTGAAATGAACCACTGAATCAAAGCAGGCACATATTAGTGTGCTAGTAAATAATGTGAACCCTTCCAGAATTTGTTGCTTCAGCAAAACCCAAAATAACTAAATGTTTCTCTGATGTTTATCTTAGGTTGTTACTTCCTTCTTAGGTGTTGTTTGCGTCCCTATGGAGTACTTGTTACAATCCCACAGTCTATATGCTCTAACAGTTTGAGAATAGCAGGACACAGTTTCATGAAGTTTTATATTCTTAGTTCAGTGTAAAACTCTTGAGCATGCTCAGTTTTGGTTTAAATTAATTGACAGTAACTTACTCCTTTTTACATTACTGTGCAATGGTTGGGATCAAACCTGCGACCTTTTGAATGCTAGGCTAGTATTATGCTAACCACTGGACCACTGGGTGCACCTTGTGTATAACTTGTTTAAGAAAGTGCAACAGTTGGGAACAAACTCAGGCCAGTATGCTAACCTGTACACCACAGCATTGTCCACTACTTTTTGGGTATCTTTACATTCTTATGGAGTACCTATTAATATTACTTCATCTGGCCACCCCTATGTATGTAACACCTTAAGAATAGCTGAACAAATTTTCATGAAATTTTATATAGGGAAGTTTAACAGGCTGTAGAGCAGTTTCATTGTTTGATCAGAATTTGCCAATGCAGTGGGCATTGTTCAAGATATACATGTGCTTCTGTGCTTTGGTTAATTTATGTCATCACAGAGACAGTAACCATAAATTTACTTGTGTGGATGGCCAGAGAATTTCATGGCTGGGGGTTATTACACTACTCTGGTTTTCAGAATGTCTTTTGTTTAAACTGACTTGCCACAGAAAAAATTGCCACCTTGATGGTCTAATGGTTAGCATACTAGCCTAGTAGTCAAAAGGTACTGGGTTTGATCCTAACTGTTGCCATTAATATAACAAGTGATCTAAGTGTTGTCCAAGACCAGTGATGTGTATATGAACAGGGTATATTGTGCCTGGTCGAGAATTTTTTGGCATTGTGAATAGCCATTTTTAATAACTTTAGGCACTTTTAGAGTTCCTATCAAACTTTCTTAGTCCATTAGTTTTCCACCTTTAATGAACACTTGTGCATAAGAGCATTTTCTTGATGTAATGTTATTTACTATTTGATCTTTATAATGATGACACATTGTGTTTTCCTTGAGGTAGAAACTGTATTATCTGGTTTCCATGGTATCAAACCAAACAGCTGATGTCTGTAATGGATGTGTTTTATTTTGGTAGTAGGAATTAAATTTTATGGTTGCCATGATATCAGTTCTACTTCTGTTTGATTGAAGGCCCTTGTTCATTCTCTCTGCCTGTTTGTAAGAGAGCATCAGCAGCTTCTATGAAATTAAAATTTGAAGAAAACAAAGCAGATGCACCAGAATTGTAAAGCAATTGTAAATTTGCATTCCTTGCAGCAGTTGAACGCAAGACCTTTAGATCCCAACTACTATTGGCGAATTACTGGTGATTTATAAAGATAAGAGGTCAAATTGTGGTTGAGTCTTTGACTGGATGGGAAATCCTCAGCCAGCTGCACAGCCGCAGAGGGAATCCTTTGCAATGACATCATCACCCAACCAGACAGGCATCCCTCCACTAAAGATTATTGACCCCAGACAACTGTGATATTACATGTACTATTTACAAAAGTCAGAAGTCAAATTCTGTTAAACATGCCAGAATTGTTATACTGTGCAACATTTTTTCTAACTTGTTGAACTTTCAGAATCAGATGGTGGCAAGTATGAAGTGACTCTTCTGGGATGTTGCACCATGTAGTCTGGTAGAAGTTTACCAGCATTTCAGAGGTGCGTACTGCCACCAGACTACACAGCACTGCAACCCAGAAGGCAATCATTTTAATTTTCTAACTTGTTATGCGTTGTTTGCATAGTGAGAATGCATTATGGGCTGTTCTTGTCTGTCCATCCATCCATCTGTCCGGTCGATTCAACTCAAGAGTCAGTGGACAGATTTGGGTGAAATTTGATGTGGCAGTTGTGCTATTCTGCACACCCTAAAATTGTACTTTTGAATACCCTATGATAACAAAATGACCAATTAGGAAATTCATGAAGTAGACATTAAGATGCTGTGATCTGGTGGTCAAAGTGGAAGCTATTCAAGGTGGATTTAATACCCAAATGCACATTTTAAAAAAAATGCACGAGGATGTCATGTGTATTCTGGTGCAGTATACACTTTCTGAGCTTGTTAATGCTACAGAGATGATTGCTTAATTCAAGTCGTAATGGTGCATGTCTTCTTTTTACAGGCATCTTGGAGGATTCATTACAAGCATATACCAAAGCAGAGAATGAGAATTTTAAGACCATAGTGGTGTTTGACTGCCGTGGCGTAGAGTTGGTAGACTTCGATTTCAGGGTGCGTATTGTTAAGTTGTATGTGTGAACAAGAGAAATGAAGGAAACATGTACTTGTACTTGAGTACATTGACATACTTTGCATAAAAAGAAACCAGCACTTTCATAAACTTTGCAGTTGTCAGATCATATATATAAGTTATCCTGATGGATGTTTCATTCAGTTGTGCTTTCTCTTCCTATTGTAAGTAGTTACTTGGAGCTACCAGTTTATGAAGTACACCTGTGCATCATGTGTATATATTTGTAGAGCAAACACAGATGATCTGAGCAGTTTTAAAATTAGACAAAAATTAAATTTAAACCATTGGAAGGAGAACTTCAAAAACTATTTTGTCATGCTGGAGAAGTGACACAACCATGAGGATCACAACTGTTGACATGACTGTAAAATGGTTACTCAATCCAAGAAAACATTTTGTGTGCTTAAGTTATATTCCACAAAATCTGGACTGCTGCTCAGTGGGGCTTTTAGATGAAGTTCCATAAAAATGCTCTGTATATGAATGCAGTTTGCTTCCTTCTTTTCAGTCTCTTTAGCAATTGACCAGACATGGGTACCATTAGTTACCACTAATGTATTTATGGTTTCAGGGTGGCTGGAGTGCAGTTTCTGAAGATAGTGGTCATGTTTACAGTGAAGTAGACCTTAGTGAAAAAGAGTGGGTGGAGTGGGATGAGAAAATAAAACAGTCAGTTGGTATATACAATGTTGAGCATCAGTTTGTTCGCACAAAGTGAAATGAACTTTGAACACTGCAGTTGTTAACCTCACAGTTCATGTTGTTTGATGTCTTTTATAGACTGTGACGATGGCTTTTGTAATAATGATTAGTTACAGGAATAATTAATTCATTGGCCTGTGATGGTGTTTTTTTTATTACTGGAAAGAGTAATGCATATTTAAACAGAAGATGTCATATTAAAAGATGATGCACAAATGATGAACTCATTTCTGATTTTCACGGCGGTGATTCTGTTCTTGAGGGTTTGGTGCCGTCTAGACTAATGCACACAACATCAAAACCCAGAAGTCCAGCGTCCTCATCAAGACTCCAGAGGCAGGGGAAGAAGCATCGCCTAGGACGTCTTGTACCTCGATGGATCTCTGTGAACACAAGCCCACAACACAGCAATGTGTATTAAGGTGTCTAGATCCCGTTGATATCTTGCAACATATTCTCCAAAGACCTACGTCAACATCACTTACCACAAACCTCAATCATCCAAGTGCTCACTCTCGAATATGTTACCTCCCAAAAACTCTGACATAATTTCTTGTTTCTTCCACCTGAGCTATACTCTTAGCTCAATATAATTTCATGATTTTATGTAATTTGTAATAAAATAAAGAAGACGTTGCTTACACAGGAGATTTTCCTCCATTTAGACTCCGTTTATAACTCATTGGTCTATTATTCCACTGTTTTGTGATCTATTAGTCATGTATATTGAAACTGTTGAGCCGTGTATGGCTTAAGACTAGATTGTACCGCCAGAACATGTGATTTGGAGACATACTTTGATCTCCAGGATCTAACCACATGAAAGCCATATTTGAAGACTGACATAATACACACACATTCATTTAGTTTATAAAAAATACGGGGGGGGGGGTAACTTCAGCTGAAGGAACATCCGTCCCCCTCTGTTGCCCTTGGGTGACCTGGCCTTTGTGTCACATACCTCAAGAATGATGGCAAGGATTAGGATGATCAGGAAGGCATGGTGAAGGAATCCTTGCAACTTCCCGAGCAATTTCCATAGTTCAGCTGAAGGCCTCCATGATTGGGGACGGCAGGCCATGCCCCTTTTGAATTATATCCTGACATTTGCCTTACAACCGAGAAAAAGCACGGAAAACCACAGTCAGGGTAGCTGAGTAGTCAGACCACTCGTGCCGACTTAACCGTCTTACCAGAGACATCCTCGGCTGGTCTGCTGAACATCAGTCCCCCTCCGTTGCCCTTGGGTGACCTGGCCGTCGTGTCACATATCTCCAAGACGACGAAAAGGATTAGGATGATCAGGAAGATGGTGTGAAGTGTCCCTTCCACCTTGGAGACGAAGTTTCCAAATTCCTAAATTTGGCACCATTCAGCAATCACTCCTATAAAGGCAGTAACCGTCTCCCAATTTGACTATTGTAATGTGACAGTAAATATTTTAATCCCTGTGATCAAGATCTGCAATTACGTACCTTGATTGATGATTTATGCATCACTTAAGGACACTATAGCACCCTGCACGGGATATTTACCTTGGAATAATATTTGGCTGATAATAATAAGTTCTTAAATTATCGAGTTCATAGGAAACGCTTTCTCAGCTTACAGCCTGGAAGAAACGTGGAAATTTCACTTTTCTAGACGACTTGCTACCGCCAAATACACATTCTAACCTGCTGCAACTACAGTGAAACCTCTATCCATCGTTCCCGGAACTATCGTTTTCCCGGATGCATCGTCCGTTTTGTTCGGTCCCGAATACATCCCATATAAAATAATGTTACATTTTCCCGCTTCTATCGTTCCTCGAACTATCGTTTTATCGCATCGATCCTTAAAAAATCTTAGTCCCAGCACACAATTTTCCCGCAATGATCGTTTCTGAGAAATTGTAACGAAATTTACGTGATATTTTTAGAATTTAATTCCGAAAGACGCACAATGTTTTTGGAATAAACAGTAGCGGTAACCTGTTATGTCGCCCAACCAGCACATTCTTTTGGAATGAGGGTCAGCGGTGCAGGGGTGATATTGGAGTGAATGGCGGTGCTCATTGTCAGAAATTTTACGATTTTAATTAGGGTGCACTCATATTTCGTTCCAGCGATGCCAGATGGCATGTGCAGTGTGAATTTCTTCACAAATGCTTTTATTACAAGGACAAAGGAAAGGCGAAAGTGCTGCTGTGGATGTGGAAATAACGGAGCTGTGGCTCGAGAGACTGCCAACACTGCTGGAGGGATATGAGCCGCGGGACATTTATAATGCGGATGAGACCGGACTTTTCTACAACGCCCTCCCGGATAGGACTCTGGCATTGAAAGGTGAATCTTGCCACGGGGGAATACGTGCAAAACACCGAATTACTGTTCTTCTGTGTGTTAACAGTGACGGTAGTGACAAACGGGTTCCGATTGTAGTTGGAAAATCACGAAAACCGCGTTGTTTCAAAAACATGAAAAAACTTCCGGTGAAATATCACGCCAACTGTCCGCATTTCCACTACGTGGCGCTTGGGTAGTAAAGAGTACAGAGTAGAGTTTATTTACATTCCATAGATCCTGCTTAGGACTCAACCAAAGGATGTAGAACTTGTCATTTCAGACAATATACATACACTAAATGTATTAGCGACTAGCTGTGGGTCGGACGACTGGGGTTAGATCCCCGACAGGGACACTTTTTTTTTTAATCCAGCCTCTGCATCTAGACCAGCTCTGGGGGCCACCCAGGCTCATGTTCAGTGCACAAAAGGGAATAAATGGGGCTACTGTGACTGTCTGTCCATCTGCATATTCCAACTGAAGAACTCCTTCACAGATTTGAATGAAATTTGGTATGGAAAGTATGCCATTGTAGTGTACCCCAAATTTACCCCTTTTCAATCTACTACAGTTGGTAATAATAACATGGCATATATGTGAGATGGGAGTTAGTCTAGAAACTTCTGCCAAAGTAATTTTTGTAGAAGCCACGCAGTGACAGCTCTGGGCCGCACGAGATGATCCAAAACCTTCCAGTGCATGGAGCGCGTCGCATCCTGGACAGGGCTGGCTATGGCCAGAGCATTGCACTGCAGACAGTGCACAAGAGCAACGATACCAACCGGATATAACTGGCACCTGGAATTTTAATCTGTCGGTTTTAAATTTACATTTTTGTGTGCAGTGTGATGAACACAGTCTTTGGCGTAGGGACCTTGTTATCAGAGCAACCACTTCAAACATTCAACCCATTTAATCCAAACTTTTCTTGACATGTAAGTTACAAGATAATCTCCATAATTCAGTACAAGCTGCACCTTTCCAATCTTATTCCTATCTGTGTCTCTTACCAGAGTACATAAAATTAATGAATAACTGAGCAGTAATATCTGTTCTTATGTGTGTGTCATCTTGAAACTACAGCTGAATAATTTCTGATTAAATTTAGCCTTAGGAGTCTACCCCAAAAGTTGTGGGAAAAATTCACAAATCCATCAAACAGAAGTGCAAGCTGTGAAGATCCTTAAATTATATTTCCTTAATTTTTTATTACTTCACCTTACTCAGCTGTGAATGAGTCTGCTTAATCTTTTTGTTCCAGTGACTTGTAAACTGTCTTTTTGGTACTGCAGCTAATAAATTTGTATGTCGCTTTTAACGAGTTCTGGTTGTAATGATGCAGTCACATAACTGATTTTTATTGTCAGCTCTGTTTTGTATTGAAGAGTCTAATTAAGACCAACAAATCTATCTTAACTACCATCAGTAAATACCAGGTCCCCCAGACAGTGGCTTCAATGTGAAAAGAAACATAAATTAATATTTAGTCATACAGAATGGTAAATTTTGTAGCTAACGATGAGGCAAAGGCTTTCTACTATATGTGGCCAGTCATAAAGACAAAATATAATTAGAAATGTCATTCAGTATCAATCAGATGTGCTGGCAGGATTAATTAAAGAGTACTGAAACATCTAATCTAGAAGTGGTCACTGGGTGTGTTAAAAGGACGACTCACATGAAATGGGGAAGAAAGTACTGGGTGATTTGGATGTCAGGTGACTCAGTTTTGCTGTATCCTGCTATCTTATTTCTTTCAGGAAAATGGTGAAAGTAGTAAAATGTACGGCGGGAAGAAGACAAATGGTACCGCAGGAGGCTCGCGAGGTACACATGATGAATCACGATACGCACAAGGAAGCAGGAAGACTGCTGATTCAGATGCTTCAGCCACAAGAGCAACCACAACAGCTGAACCTTCCGTGAATGAGAATGAGAAACAGCTGAAGGAGTTGCGAGCACAGTTTCTTGCCAAAAAGAGGAAATTTCATGCAATGAAATTACAATTTCTTAAAAAACAAGTGAGAATCTCTCCAAGTCAGTGTTTATTCCACATATTAAGCATTCTTTGTAAAAGGGCGTGAATGGCAGCACTACATGTTTCATTCCTGGAAGTATAAAAATTATGTTTATGTAAGACGCCGACCTATAGAAAATCGCGTAGTAAAAATAACCCCGGTACCTCCGTAGAGATTAAATTAGTCCTTTGAAAGTTTAAAGCGCCAGGAATGAAATGGCATAAGAGCAAACTCGCATGTGCAAAAGTTTGAATTTCACAAACAGCTTTTACCGATTCATCGATCTCATTGGAGCAAATTCGCGTTAATGAAACAAACGTAATTGCAGAGATGATTGGATTTATAATTTTTATTCAAAATCAGCGATGTAAGAATTACGATTTAGTATAAGAATCAGTACGAGATACATTGTAAAACGTTATAAATAATAGTAAAATATATTTTTTCACTTTTTGACTTGCTAGTTTTCAAAATCGGTGTTGTTCTGAATCGGCACAAATCGAGGCCTACCTCTATTTTCTACAGTGCAACATTAAACAATCTTCAGTTACTTAAAATGAAAATCTTCATAATGTGGGAAACTTAATTACTTTCTTCCCCTGCGGCATGCCAAATATTCTGGATAATTCTGTTCCTAATTTTAAAAACATAATAAATTAATAATTTTCCTACGATTGTATCTTCAAGATGAATAATTTTTTGTGCACCAGTTTTCTAAATCAGGCTGTTGTACATGAATTTTCAATAGCTAATTTCCAAAACTGAGAAGTCGATAATTTTTCTGATATTATCTCTCGAAGAGGAACATTTTTGTACTTATCCCGTTATATATCATGCAAAATGTCTGGCACATCTGATCCGTCTTCATTCAACCCTTTACAGCCTAGAGGAAATTCAATATGCCACATCCTTTGGTATTCAATGACTGCATTTTTCCCACCGAGTATATTTGTGTACTTGTTATGATTCTCAGAACAAACAGCAAGCATTTCCGTAACAGCATCAACAGACTGATCCTCACAATAGTGGAGTGCTGTGTTCTCTTTGAGGTAGGAGCTGATATCTGAATATTGTTACAACCAGTTGAGGTCAAAGGGTTTATTAGACACAGAATATAAAATATGAAGATTTAATTAATGACATAAAATATAAATACTCCATAAAGGAAAATCCAAAAATAGTCACACTACAACATGTCTGCAATAAACAATTTATGCCTATGATTTCAAAAATTTTCCTGTTAATTCCTCTCCAAAAGACATCAGTTATTCTTCTTCTTCTTCAGAGTTATGTGGACAGGTGACTTCCCTCATAAGCTGGTTGCGTGAGGAAGCCGTTTGTCCAAAAGAAGAGCAGGAGAGTACATCTGACAGGTGACTTTCCTCATAACCTGGTTGCGTGAGGAAGCCGTTTGTCCAAAAGAAGAGCAGGAGAGTACATCTCTTTCCGAAGTCCCAGATGTCTGGTGGGCCTGAAATGCTGTTCTCAGAATTGCTGCTCCTTTTCACTCTAACTGGACTGGTACCAACGGTAGAACCCTGGAATCTTTGATACCAAGCATAAACATTGATTATAGTACAATCATCATTCTACACCTATAAATATTTTTAATTTTATTCTAAAGGGTTTTGATGACGGTAGTTTACATCAAAAATTATTCTTTGTCAGGACGTTTTCCATCGCCTGTTATTTTAAATCACGATGTTTCAGAGGCTGGTTCTGTGACAGAGACTATCTCTATCCAACGGACCCAACAGAGCATTTACCTCTCACCTGAAGACGGAGACAGAACCAGCCACCGAAACGTCGTGTTTTAAAGAACAGACGATGGAACAAATAATTTTATTTGTAATTTTGTTTCCCTACTCCTTGTTTATGAAGATCATTTTCTTAACGTTCTTCCATCTCCTCACGAACCTCAAACAGACACTCTCCTACTTTCTTCACTGTATCTTCATTCCTATTTTTTCTTTTTAATTTCAACGTTCCTACATGATCAATAAAGACTGCGTGTTCAGGCACCGAAAACTGCTTTTTAAGCACTTAACATAAGCGCACATGTACTTGAAAATATGCATTCATTTGTTAAAAATATAACAGCGATATCAAGCGACAGGTACACTGGAAAAACATGACGAACCAAATAAACACTAGCAATTT